TCATGAGTCACTACTTTTAATTTTTTAAATAAAAGACGAAATTAAACATAGTGAGCGACCGGTCGATAAACAAAAAGAGTCATTTTTTAGGGTTTAATGCACCAAATCCCTCCTGAAATATAAATTTGGCGTATTAGCTTCCTCTGATTTAAAAAATGTATCAAACCCCCCTGTGTTATAATTAATCATGCGCCAAACCCCCTCCAAGAACACATTTAATTTCCAAAAAATGAAAAATGATTAGTTTTTTTTGTATAATTTAGAAATTTTGATAAAGTTACTTGCATATTCAACCATATTATTAAAAAAAGTGATTTCGAAATTGCAAAATTTATTCTTGAAGGGGTTTTGCGCATGATTATTAAAATATACGGGAGGTTGACGCATTTTTTAAATCACAGTGATCTAATGCGCCGAATTTATATTTCACGAAAGGATTTAGCGCATTTAAACCGTATCAAATAATGACCCATTAATAGCGAGGGCCAAGCAAGACCAAGTCTCCAATAACTTTTCACATTATACGCGAATAGTGCGCGACTACCGTTCATTTCCTTCCCACGGGACGGAGATGCTACAGGTCTACAATACCGTGTTAAATATCTTCAATATATTTAATTATGACAAACATAATAATATAATAATAATGCCAAACACATCCGCATGATTTGATGACATTAATGCCACTTTCTTAATGGAAAGTCTCTGATTCTATTCGCATTTCAATTATATTGAATTTACATTCTATAATAATAAAACTATTCCTTAATAGTTACACGTGATTCTAAAACTTCTAAAAGTAGAGGTGGGAGTGGTATAGCTCAAATTAATTTTTGCTAAACTCGAAAATTACCAAATTTTACATTATAAAAATTAGGGATCGAAACATTAATCATTATATTCAGTTCGAATCGGATTTTTGATAGTCCGAGTTTGGATATGACAGGTTAAAGCGTGAACGAGTCAAATAATAAAACAAATACTCCCTCCGTCCCTAATAATTTTGCCAAGTTTGACCGACACGTAGATTAATAAAATAAAAACTATGTGGTTGAGGTTTGTGCAGAGAAGAGAGAATTAATTGAAACCACAAATTATTTACTTAAAAAGAAAAGTGACAAAGTTAGCGGGACATCCAAATAGGGAAAGTTGACAAATGTATAAGGGACATAGAGAGTATTAGTCTCCGAAATCACCAACAATTCAAATTCAAACAAAACAATTTGTCTTAATATTGCATTTAAGATACATATAAACAAATATTAGAGGTTTTGTAAAAAATATTACAACCTCCGTCCCGTAGAATAGTTCCCACGGCAAAACGACACAGTTATTTAGACAATAATTAAATAAGGTAATTCGAGTGTATTTTGAGAAATATTTTTAATAGGTATGTAATATAATGGGGTTAGTATTGATAAGTGTGAAGTTATAAAAGTATTATTTTTAATATTTAATGATTAGAATGTCATTAAAAATTGTTAATTATTTTCTAAAATATAAATGAGAACCTTTATATCGGACGTCCAAAAAGAAAAGTGAGAACTTTTCCAAGGGACGGAGGGAGTATTAAATAAAATTTGTGGATAACAATGTGACTAAAGATACTATGAATATTTTTTCATAGCCACTGTGACATATAAATATTTAACATGACTATAGTTGCTAAAAGTTACTAAGTCACTTTCTATCAACAATTATTCTTCTAGTCATAAATCACAAATTATTTTTAATGAATATCGTTAGATTACATTGTATTTATATTAAAGGTAATATGTCGGATTTTGATCGGTTCAAGCTGAGTTATAGATTTTAGGGATCCTTAGTGAGTCTAACCTTGCAGGCTTGGTCGGAGTATTTTTATCCGAACCGTTTAAAAAGAAAAAACTCAGAATGGTATCAAAATTTGAGTCGGAGCATGAGCGAATCTCATCCTTGCCTAAAAGAACAAACACATTCTCAGAGGTTAGGGAAGGCGTGGGGTTATAATGATTTTAGTCCCGGATTAGTTAAATCATATCATATCTTACTACATTTAAATAGATCAAATCATAGTTCGATAATAGTAAAGTACACATAAAACAAACAAAACATCAAATCGGATCACACCAAGCTAACTTTATCTTTAGTACTCATGATACAAAAAATCACAAGTAAAGAGTATTAAATAAGATATAATAGTTTTTGTCACTTTTAGTCCACTGACTATTGTGTTGGTGACATTTTTTATCTCGACTTTTAATTTTCCCATTTTTTTGTCCTAGGACTGTCATGCAAGGTACACTTTTATTCATTGATTTCGAAGTTCCCACATATGGTCCCTTGAGTATTACCAAACCGGCGCATTTAGTCCTTCCATTGTGATTTTGGCACAATTAGTGAAAGACTACAAATGTCACTATTAATAGTTGGATGACCAAAATAGTCTCTTTTATGAAAGTCGAATAACTAAATATGAAAAGTTTTAAAGAAACAAACATAAAAAATGTCTTTCAATTCAAGCAATAGACAAATTACTAAAAGTGAAAATATTCAAAGTCGAATACTAAAAAATGTCACTAATGTAATAATCAAAGGATTAAAAGTGACAAAAACTCAAGGTGATAATTTCATCAAAATGCACATGAAAATTATTGTAAGCGTCCTTGGAATTATAAGAGAGAGATTCCTTAAAGTTAAACATGTTAATGAGACCACTTCAACTTTGTATGACCTTTAAGAAATGATTAGTACTCTTAAATTACAAAGTAGTCATCAAAAATAAGGAAAAATTGATTGTAATAATCCCAACTATTGGTGGCCCGCTCATAATAATCCCAACTATCGATTGTTTCAGAATAATCCCAACTTTAGGGACCTTCCGTCAATAATGGTCCGACGTGACCGACTATAAATAAATTCCTATAGTTTCTAAAGAGATATAGCAGGTAAACCCTATAAATAATCCCAAATTTTAATTTTTAAGCTTAATTTCTATTACAAATTCACTTGTTAGAGCAGGTAATATGCGGTCATGGACCATTATTGGTGGGTGGTCCATATAGTTGGGATTATACAAAAATAATCAATAGTTGGGATTATTGTTAGCGGACTAGCAATAGTTGAGATTATTATTTTCAATTTTTCCTAAAAATAACACATGTATATCAGTAATCATCAATGATTTCATTATATTATATACTCATCAAAATATTATCAAATATATTCCAATTACCTTATTTAATTATTGTTTAGCATAGACTTTTTCTACGAGAAGTTTAAGTCGGGACGGTGGTAGTACTATTTATAATTTAATTACATTAGTGAATTTAATGACTATACCAAGTTCATTTTTATGTTATAGTGAATATGAAAACATACTCATGATAATTTTAGTAGTTTTTTTTGTTCATAAGTTTTGGTAGTATAGAACTTTAGTAACAAGTCATAGGTTTTTGCATTTAATTCTTCGACAATTGTGTAAGTGAAACTTTGGATGTTCAACTTGTTAGAGCAGGTAATATGCGGTCATGGACCATTATTGGTGGGTGGTCCATATAGTTGGGATTATACAAAAATAATCAATAGTTGGGATTATTGTTAGCGGACTAGCAATAGTTGAGATTATTATTTTCAATTTTTCCTAAAAATAACACATGTATATCAGTAATCATCAATGATTTCATTATATTATATACTCATCAAAATATTATCAAATATATTCCAATTACCTTATTTAATTATTGTTTAGCATAGACTTTTTCTACGAGAAGTTTAAGTCGGGACGGTGGTAGTACTATTTATAATTTAATTACATTAGTGAATTTAATGACTATACCAAGTTCATTTTTATGTTATAGTGAATATGAAAACATACTCATGATAATTTTAGTAGTTTTTTTTGTTCATAAGTTTTGGTAGTATAGAACTTTAGTAACAAGTCATAGGTTTTTGCATTTAATTCTTCGACAATTGTGTAAGTGAAACTTTGGATGTTCAACTCTGGCTTTTTTCCATTTTTAGTCTACCAAATATTTTGGTAGAAATATTTTTCATCCTGGATTTTAAAGTTACCTACATTTAGTCCCTTGAATATCGACAAAAAGAAACTCTTTCTACTAAGATATTGTCACAATAAGTGAATGACTAAAAATGTCAACATTATGATAATTGAGGGATCAAAAGTGTTTTTTTTAATGAAAATTGAAAAACAAAATATGTCAAATCTCAAAAAGTGTCTCTCGAACAATAATTGAACAGTTAAAAATAGAAAATTTCAAAGACGAATATAAAAAAAGTCACTAACATAATTGTGAGGCGACTAAAAGTGATAAAACTATAATAATGTTTTTTATTGGATTATAATATTCTTATGGGAAAAAGGGTCAAATAGGCCATCGAACAAACTTAAAAAGAGCAAATCAACTCTTATATAAGAGGCTCTGTCCGGCCGTCGTGATTTTGGGTGGTTCCCGGTGAAATTTTTTGATGAAATTTTTTGAGCATCTTCTTCAATAAGTCTAGTTTACCCATATCGAATTTCAGAAAAAAAATTCGACTGGAAAGACGGTCAAATGAGTTTCTGAAATTTATTGCGTTGTTTAATTGCGCAATTATCGTCAAAAATTCATTTGACCGTCTTCCCGGTTGAATTTTTAGCTGAAATTTGGTATGAGTAAACTAGACTTAATTAAGAAGAGCTCAAAAAATTTCATCAAACAATTCCACCGGGAATCGCTCCAAGTGGTGAAGGCCGAATATAGTCTCTATATAAGAGGTGATTTGCACTTTTTAATTTTGTTTGATGGCATATTTGACTCTTTTCCCTTTTCAAAATAAATCTGATTTGATCCAAACTAATCTAATTTTATATTCATAGATGTCCATTTTATGTATAATTATAACTGTTCAAGTACAGTGTAACGTGATGTAATGAATATCTCGTCATCAAGTGAATTTAATCCAATCAAAAACCTCTTAAATTATACCCCTTACTCCATATATCCGACCGAAGCAATAAAGAGAAAAATTAATTACGGAGTGTATATATATATATCCAAAATGGAAGTAATCCAAACGTTTTAGTGATATATCAAGCCCCAAATTCCTTTGACCGCTATCTCCGTGATATACACACGATTATAGAGGGCAGGTCATTCATTCACAACACCCCAAGCTGATCTTTCTTCCTACTTTCTAGTTTTCTGTTACATACTACTCCGTAATACATACTCCCTCTAATCTTTGAACTTTTCAACCAAAACATGGTGGGGATGATGAAGAAGTGGAGACCATGGCCTCCTCTGTCATCCAAGAAATTTGAGGCCAAGATTGTTGTTCACTGCGTAAAGGGTCCTAGAATCTCACTCGAATCTGCTGAAAAATTGGCGGTTGAGATCAATTGGAAAGGGTCAGCAAAGATCAACCCTTTGAGTTCCCTGAAGAGGAGGAGTGTGAGGAGGAATTTGACAAAGGAGGAGTCTTTGAGGGAAAGAGACGACGGTGACGATGATGGGGTTGCTGTTCGGTGGGATGAGGAATTTCTTTGCGTCTGCAATTTCTCAGGTCACAAGGGTTCTGGATTTCTTCCATGGGAGGTTGCTTTTACTCTCTTCAATGTAAGTTCTTGATTACAGTTCATGGATTTCCTCTTATTCTTTGATAGTTTCTAAATTAAAAAATAAGGTGTTCTTTTTTACTCCCTCATTTTATTCTGTACCAAAGAACTTGGAATCAACAAATCTACAAAAAATAAAAAACGGGTAAAAGTTTGTGAAATTAGAGAAATATTTTGCGTCTGAAGCCGGTTAACAATCAGAAGGGGATTCAAAGTATTTATGAGTTTTGATCATAGCCAAATTTCTAGTAAAAAATCACACGGTGGACTTGTTCTTGTGGAGGCCTGGAGGGTGGGGGTGTTCGATTTTCATTTTATAGAAGAAAATGATTTTCGTTACTATAAATTTCTTACGGAGTAATATGCCAATCTTTATACTCTGTATAATTCTGTAGTGAATGAAATGAATATTTGTTGTTGGAATTATGGCTATAGTTTTTTTTTTCAATTACTCAAGATAAAAGTACCCAAGATTTGTGGCTTTTTCTTTATGGACTACTTGTCTGAGTTGTCTCTTGTGGTTTTTTCTTTCTTTCTGACGATCCGATTAGCCTGATTAAATGAAGTAGGCTAGTATTAGTTTCTATTTTAATTATAAAAAAAGTCTATGGTTGTATTTGGAGTGCATTTTACCTGAATTTTCTCCTTTATTAACACCATTAATCCCCCCTCTCTTGTGGGCTTTATCCACACCACTAATCCCCTTTCTTGTGGGCTTTATCGAATAATACAGTGTGGTCACTTTGGTGTATCATCAGTAATATTATTCATGGTTTTAATATACACTTCTATGGAATATTCATTCTTTATTCACAAATGTATAGGGCTTGAGCATGGGACTGTCAGCCAAGATGCCCGCTATCGCCACTGCATCATTGAACCTTGCAGAGTATGTCTCATTTGCGAAGGAGAAAGACATCAAAATTACCATTCCTCTGGAAGTCTCTAGCCCGCAGTGTATTTCCAACCGTCCTGTACTTTGTGTAAGTACAATTAACACCCTTAATCTTTTGATTATGTAGTCATATTTTTGCCCATTAGTTCTATTGTAATAATATTACAGGTAGAGTCCCAATCTAAAAACATGTGTAATGCATGCTGCAGCTGTCCTTAAACCTCATGGAATTGAAAAACAATAATGAAACAGTGCAAAAAGCCATCACATCCCCGACACGTGGAGAAATCCTACTTGATGGCAAAAACCCTGCAGCTTCTCCTTTGCGAGCTGGTCTCGAAAAGGTTAAATTTTTTACTGGATTGTCCCCTCGGGATCACAAGAAGGTTGGACATGAAGAAGAGGGGAGTCCAGTTAGAAGCGAGAGCACAGAATATAACTACCCTTTTGACATGGACTCTTTTGGTGATTCTGAAGAAGGGGGCGAGTCTGAGGAAGGTATAAGAGTGGATAATAATTTCAATTATGAAGCATTGGCTTATGCGAACCATGTTGGAGGATCATATTATTCCAATACAAGTGGAAGTGAAGATGAGGACTGGATATACTTCAGCAATCGGGAATCAGATACAACTATAAGAAGATCAGTAGTTGATGAGTCTTTGGGGCGGGGGTCAAAGCGGAGGATTCTTCCCTGGGGAAAGAGGAGATTGAGCTTTAGATCTGGTAAGAGCAAGGGAGAGCCACTGTTGAAGAAACATTATGGAGAGGAAGGTGGTGATGATATTGATTTTGATCGCCGCCAGCTTAGTTCCTCGGATGAGTCATCCTCTCCCACTGTAAGTTCCCTTTCTTTGCTAAGAGCAACATAACTTGTCCTTTAGTAATCCATAACGGTCCTTTCTTTTGCTTTTAGACCACAACTTTTTTCTCTAAGGGCTTATCTAGTTTAGGGATATCATTGATTTTTAATTTACTAATTTGTTTCTGTTTGTTAGTTTCGAACTAGATATAACTCTATGATTAGTTAAACCATGTATTTTTATATAATTATATTTTTTAGTCTTATTTCCAATCTTCTAAATGTAGAAATAAATATCTCCTGGCCTCTTTTCCCCCTCCGGAATTCCGTAACTTAAAATCCTTAAGGCTCTTTGTTCAGAACCAGCAGAATGCTGGGAAAAGGAAAATATGGGGAGATTTTAGAAGAAAAAAGAATTTGGGGAAACAATTCCATACTTGTTTTTAAATCATTTTATTTATTGTAAGGACTAAGGATGTTTTTACTTGGACTGTAATTTTCTGGTTTGGTCTGGTTTGGTCTGGTTTCTTTGTATTTTTATAACTATCCAAGTCTGGTCTGGGAGGAATTACAGTCCAAGTAAAAACATCCTAAGAAATGTACATTTAAAATCTTACTCCCTAATAAGTGTTGATCATTTTTCCCATTGTATTTCCACGGTAAAGCCGAACTTAAAAAAAATATTTTCCTTTGCATTTTCTCTCTCTACTATTTCCCCCATTCCAAACAGTGTAAAAGATCGATAGCTGAAATAGAAAAATGATTTCATAGCTATAAAATAAAATAAAGTCACAGCAACCAGGATATGCTTACACAACCTCGGCTGTTGACTCAATCAGTTGCTCTTTATTAAAAAAAATGCACAACATATCAGTACCAAACACACATGTCCACTCACACCATTTTTATATCATAAGTTACCAAAGAAACAATTTGTTCACTTCATTGTTCAACCGTTTATGCAGCAACATCAAACTGACCCTTGGTAACTTGTCTACTCATCATATATTAGCAGTTCTTATATGACATGTATAACATTTTTGCAGCATCGGAATACAGAAAAGGACTCAAATGAAAACCAATCTCCCATCTCTGAATTCGGAGACGACAATTTTGCTGTGGGAAGCTGGGAATTGAAAGAGATTATTAGCCGTGATGGGCAAATGAAACTGAAAACTGAAGTATTCTTTGCTTCCATTGATCAACGTGATGAACAAGCAGCGGGGGAAAGTGCCTGTGCAGCCCTAGTTGCCGTGATCGCCGATTGGTTCCATTCCAACTCGAAAGATATGCCTGTGAAGTCCCAACTCGACACTCTCATCCGCGAAGGTTCGCTTGAGTGGAGGAAGATGTGTGAAGAGGAGAGCTATAGGGAGCGTTTCCCCGACAAGCATTTTGATCTCGAAACGGTCCTACAAGCCGAAGTCCGCCGACTTTCAATATTCCCAGAAAAGTCTTTTGTTGGATTTTTTCACCCAGAAGGGATGGAAGACGAAGGGTTTGATTTCCTTAAGGGTGCCATGTCATTTGACAGCATTTGGGATGAGGTAGAGAAAGGTGGGGCAGAAGACTCTTTGGTCTACATTGTGAGTTGGAATGACCATTTTTTTGTGCTTAAGGTAGAAAAAGATGCGTATTACATCATCGACACGTTAGGTGAGCGCCTTTATGAGGGTTGCAATAAAGCCTTCATCCTCAAATTTGACCGAGACACAACAATATCTCGGTTGACTGAACTGCCTGTGGATAAAGCCGTTGACTCTGAGAAAAGGGAGGAAGGAAGGAAGCAAGAAACTGTTGTCTGTACAGGAAACGAGGCTTGCAAAGAGTATATTAAGAGTTTCTTGGCGGCGATTCCCATTAGGGAATTACAAGTGGATGTGAAGAAAGGGTTGATGGCATCCACACTTCTTCATCAACGGCTTCAAATCGAGTTCCATTATACGAAGAGTTTTGACAGATTGATGGTGTTACCTTCAGTGGAGGAGCTTACTGCTAATCATAATCATAATGCTAATAATAATCCTTCAGAAGCACAGCCAGTTTTAGAAGAGTAAAGTGCTTATAAGAAATAAGAGTATATATCCTAACCTCATCCTACATCTTCCCTTCGTTTGTGATTGTGCAGTATGTCCATGTTTAGGTTTAATATCTGCTTTGCTAAAGGGCAAGTTCTTTTTTCTTTCGATTTCAGTGGCACTTTTTTGCCCCTTTAATAGGATGAGCATGTAAATGACTGAAGAATGGTAAAAAGCAAGGAGTAAATTCAATAAGTTTTTTGGTCTCCCACAGAGATGTCGTATGTTGAATTTCTACTTGTTCAGCTTCATGTTCAGTAAATCCAATAAGTTTCATGTTCTTCTTCAACTTGCTGTGCCTAAGTAAAGTAAGCCCCTTATATTCCATAACGTCTTGCTATTTGTACCAACTTTTATACCCACGGCCCACCTTTGTGAAGGCTAATTTGTTGTTTATGAATTTCGTTCACAGCCAAGATATGTATTATGTTGTTTGTGCAACAAAATAAGACATTTTGTTTTTGAACGAGACTTTTAAATATGTATTAAAAGTGAATATAAGGATGAGTACAAACATCATTTTCTATTCCATATTACTTGTTCTGAAATCTGAACCAATCTAGTTTTCTTTTAATTTCTATTCCATATTATTTGTCATGCTCGAATTTAATTTTTGGGTTTTAACAATTTTTGTGTGTAATTTCTAAATATATAAATTTTTATTACAAACGATAATTGCAGGGTATTAGGTCATGTTTGGTTTATATTTTCAAATTCAAGTTTATGCTCGGTTAAACATCATCAACCTTCTTTGCGACAAGTAACATGGAGCAATGGAGTTGATTGAGTTCAATAGTTCCCACTTCCCATACATGAATGGATGGATGAGAATGGTTCCGAGTTCCGACTATATCAAAAAATCAAAATAAAATCTTAGAACCAGTAATCAACAAGTGTTCATTCTCACAATCTCACACATGGAATGTTTCTTTGACAAATGCATTCATATTTAATAACTAAATACAATTGAGCTGTAACATGTGTTACATGTCAGCCTTCACAATTAAAAAGAATGAAAGGGCCTTCCTGGTGAGGAAATTTAAAAGGCACTAGCATTTTCTTGAACCAACACGAGCATTTGCGTTACTAATATATGGAGTCACATAGGTTGGAAATTTAATCTTGTTTACTCAGATGAGAGGCCAGCTTGACAACTCCATGCATGGATGCATCATTCTGCCAGGCAAATAAAACAGAATTAGAAACTGTTTTTAAGTATTTCCATTCTTTTATCTTTCTTCCTTTCTTCCTTGCCATAATTTATACAGTTTGGTGTATGATTAGGACCTTCAACCAGGGACCATATATTCCTACCTACTGTGAGCTGTTTGTTCCCACAAATATTCGTTTGCTTCCCTCATAAATCATCAGTGACCACTTTGAAACAGGTTGAGTTTTTAATACATCAAGGACTAAATAGTAGTCACGGCGCACGGCGACCAACATGGCGCCAGGGTAATTTCAAGCGGCGATGGCGCACAAATGGCGCACCAGTAAAACACAACATTAAAAAACTTTAAACATAACCTATAGACAATATATGTGTATGACTTAACCACCAATTAAAGAGTGAAATTGTTAAATAACCAAAGTAGTACCAAAAATAATCCAAATCAAACCAACTTAATATCGATAACTACTTCATGACTAAAACACTGAATTTAAAGTATGATCTTTATGATTTGTTGACTAATACTCATAGTCACCCCGGAGGTCGCCCGAGGCTAGGGGGTGGTTGGATGGGTGCTGGGTGGTCGCCGGAGGCTAGGTGTAATAGAGAAGAGAGGAGCGAAGGATTTAGTATATTCGATGATGATGAAAAAGGTTTACAATAGGTGCTATTTATACAATCACTAATCAAGTCTATAAGGTAGGTATTAATACAATATTAAAGATAAAGATATGTAACGGCTAAATGCAATATTATGCCTTAAATGTCAATTATTTATTTCCTTCTATACGCCCCCGCAAGCCAGGTATTCTGTCACTTCCAAGAATCCTGAGCTTGTCTCAAAGAAGGATAAATCGTTGCCGAGGAAGGGGTTTGGTGAGGGCGTCAGCTATCTGAGCAGAAGATGGGATATGATGCACTTCGAGAAGGCCACGTTGAACCCGCTGCCGAACAAAGTGAAAATCAATAGCTACATGTTTCATGCGGGAGTGGAAGACAGGATTGACTGAAGATGTAGTAGCACCTTTGTTATCACACAAGAGGAGTGGAGGAGAAAGAAGCGGGTGCCGCAACTCACGTAATAGAGATTCGATCCAAATAATTTCATAGGCAGCGGTGGAAAGAGCTCGATATTCTGCTTTCGTGGAGGACTTAGCAATAGTGCGCTGCTTAACTGATCTTCAAGATATAAGAGACTCCCCGAGAAAGATGGCATAGGCACTGGTAGAGTAACGGTCATCAGGATTCCCTGCCCAATCAGCATCAGCAAAGGCACGGAGAGTGGGGGAGGTGCTGCGACAAAGATAGAGGCCATGAGAGGCCGTGCCTTGCAAATAGCGCAAAAGACGTTTGAGAAGTTGCCAGTGATTAACCGTAGGTTTATGCATAAATTGAGCCAATTTATTAATAGCAAAGGGAGCATCTGGGCGAGTAAGATTTAAATACTGAAGAGACCCGAGGATCCGTCGATAGAGAGTGGCATCACAAGAGCCTGAACTATCAAACAGAGTTAAGGAGGCAGAAGAAGCTAACGGTGTAGCCACAAGATTAGCCTCATCCATTTTTAAAATTTTTAATAAGTCCATAATGTATTTATGTTGATCAAGAAAGAGTCCACCCGGTGTAGGAGTAACCTGCATGCCCAAGAAGTAGTGTAAGGCTCCTAAATCCTTGATAGAGAACTGGTTGGCCAATGAGTCAATAGTCTGACGTATCAAATCTGGTGTAGAATCCGTAACAATGATGTCATCCACATAAACCAACACGTAGACATAAGATGGATAGGAGGAAAATATGAATAGACTAGCATCAGTGACAGACCGATGAAATCCAAGTGATAGAAGGAATCCACTAATAGCCTGATACCATACCCGAGGCGCTTGCTTAAGACCATAAATGGATTTCCGAAGACGACACACAAATCCAGAACCATCATTAAACCCAGGCGGTTGCTTCATGTAAACTTCCTCCTGAAGAGTCCCATGGAGGAAGGCGTTGTTGACATCTAACTGATGTACCGGCCAACCATGAGAGAGAGCAATAGTCAAGACAATGCGAATAGTGACCGGTTTTATGACCGGACTAAAGTATCAGAATAATCAATCTCGGGGCACTGATGAAAGCCCTTGGCTACTAGCCGAGCCTTGTAACGATCTAAGGCATCAAATTCTACTGATATAGCACTCCGCCATTCTAGTACCTGCATAGCTTGAGAAGCACAAGTGGGAATGATATGGTGAGGTAGAGAGGTAGTAGTAGCAATATTGGCTTGTTTACGGGGTCGAAGGGTCATTGGATGGGTACGTTTGGGTGGGGAATTATCGAGGTGTGGGGTTGAAGTAGTGAGCTCAGTGGAGGTGGGTGGATAAGGGGCGGGTATAGGAGGATTGGGTTTGGGTCGGCGGTGGTAAGTAATGATTTGTGGCGGTGTGGCTTTAGGATGGGTGAAGTTGGGATATCACTTTGGGTGGAGGTAGTAGGTGACTTACCGGGAGTCAGTGGTTGAGTCGAGGTATGAGTTGGAGAAGACGCCCCCGTGACCAGAGTACCTGAAATGGGAAGATAAGACATGGAAGGTTGAAGCCAATGATCAACTTCAGAAGTGAGATTTGAGACTGGTGGTGGGGATGTAGAATAGGGGAAGACTGTCTCGTCAAACACAACATGTCTGCTGACAAAGATCCGATTAGTGGTGAGATCAAGACAGGATAGGCACTTTGTTGGTCACAATACCCCAAGAAAACGCACGATTTAGAGCGTGGTTCCAATTTATGAGATGTATAAGGACGTAAACCAAGGGAAACACTGGCACCCAAAAACAGCAAGTTTAGTATATTTAGGAGGTTGTTGGAAGAGTTTTTCATATGGAGTGCAGAAGTTAAGAGAGAGAGCAGGTTGTCTATTGATAAGATAAACAGCTGTAAGAAAGGCATAAGACCAATATTTAAGAGGAATGGACGCAAGGTGAAGTAGGGTGATACCAGTTTCCACAATGTGACGATGCTGACGTTCAGCAAAGCCATTGTGTTCTGGAGTGTAGAGGGGAGTAAATAAATGAGAAATACCACATGTGCTTAGGAATTTTCCTAAGGTTATGTATTCGTTGTCCCCATCAGAATAAACTGTTTTAATTGTGCGTTGAAAAAAATTTTCAACAATCTTTTTAAACTGTTGAAAGAGTGGAGTGAGTGAGTGACCTCACATTTTTTAGCCATAGGGTAAAACCAAATATATTTGGTATAATGATCGATAAAAATAACATGGTAACGAAAGCCATCAATGGAATTAACACGAGCAGGACCCCAAACATCTGTATGTATTAAATCTAAAGGTCCAGAGCTCGTAAGAGATAATTTTGCAAATGGCAGCTTATGGCTTTTATTACTAGCACACGAGACACATTAAGAGTTATTTGTAGTAACATCCGGAAAAAAATACCTAAGGAAGAAAGAATTTTTTTGGTGATAGGGAGGGCAGGATGTCCTAAGCGACAATGCCAATTATTAAGAGAAATTTTGTGTGTGAAGTGAACAGATGGAGATGGTGGAGGGAGCACATCTGGCAAGCTGTATATGTCTCCTCTATTCATACCCCATAACAAAATTGCTCCTGTTCGCCGGTCCTTAACAAGACAAAAGGAAGAATGAAATTCAATTAGTATGTCATTATCACGACATAATTTGGCGACAGAAATTAAATTGGTATGAATAGAAGGGACAAAAAGAGTATTAGGTAGGGAAAGAGAGTGCATGATCATATGCCCGACTTGTGCTATCGCAAGACCTTTATCGTTACCAATAATGAGAGAATCAATGCCAGTATAATTGAATGCCAAGGTAAGATTATTCAGGTTATTGGTGACGTGATTGGTCGCTCCAGAATCAAGTAGCCAGCCATTGTGTCGAGTGACAGCCGTATTAACTTGGGGAGGATAAGCTTGTTGTTCAAACCGATGTCAACAATTGAGCGCAGAATGGTTCGGTTTCCCACAAATTTGACATGTAACATTGGGCCCGAAATTACCACTCCCTGAGCTGTTGCGGGCTGCCTGGTTGCTTGTAGGTCCCCCAAAATTGTTATTGCCACGTCGGTTGGGACTGTAATGAGTATTGGGCCGCTGGTTTCTGGGCTGATTCCGATTGGTGTTGCGGGCCGAATAAATAGTGCGACTGGGCTGATGTTGAAATTGGGCCAACGGTCCAGAGCCCAAAATTGAAGGGGCTGGATCTCTGTGGGCTACAAGTGCTGCCGACTCCCGCGTACTCACGTTATTAGTCGTCACCACAACAACAGAGGAGTTGAAGTCTTCTTTCCGCTTCATGGAGTCTTCGAAGCCAGTGAGCAGGGTATAGATCGTCTTAAACCTATTGTCACCGCAGGTCCGAACGGAGTGAGCAAAGGATTCGAACTCAGGCCGGCCGGCCTGAGCCAGTTCATTGTACAGCGTGCGCAGGTGACGGAGATACGCCCCCATTGGTTGAGAGCCTTGTCGGGTGTGGCGGAAGATGTCCTTCATGTTGCGGATTTGGGATGGTGAACGAGTCCCATAGAGCTCCTCTAGAGTCTTCCAAACTGATGCAGAGGTACGAGCGGACGCAACCAAAGGTTTACAGGTCAAATTCAGGGAGGCTATGAGAGCATGTCGGATAAGCCTGTCTTGCCTAGTCCACCGAAGATGGCCATCAACATCACTCTTCGGTAGCGGGGCAGCATCATCAGATATGTACTGATCGAGATGAGACCCAAAGAGAAGATCCAGAATCTGATCCCGCCATACCAGGTAATTTGAACCATCAAGTTTTTCTGGGAAGTGACTGGGATTTAACAAGATTAATCCATCTGGGGTGAGTGGTGCTGTAATTGTGGTTGAAGGGGTATTAGAAGGGGTACGTCTGGTAAGAATGTTGTCGAGGTCTCCTTGTTGGAGGAGAAGTCATTTGTTGTCATAGGGGTGAGGAAAAGGGCTGGTTAGAGCTCAGTGGCTCTGATACCATAAATCCATCATAGAGAAGAGAGGAGCAAAGGATTTAGTATATTCGATGATGATGAAAAAGGTTTACAATAGGTGCTATTTATACAATCACTAATCAAGTCTATAAGGTAGGTAATAATACAATATTAAAGATAAAGATATGTAACGGCTAAATGCAATATGATGCCTTAAATGTCAATTATTTATTTCCTTCTATAAGGTGGTCGTTGGATGAGCACTTGGTGGTCGCTGCTATCTGGCCGCTCCAGTCCTCCATGCACAGTAGCCGTCGTTTGTTTTTATTAGCCGTCATTTGGTTTTATGTTCACGTTACTTACTGAAGTAGGGCTGGGCCATAATTATTCTGGGCCTAATTTGTTTTTTAAATTAGCCCCATTTTTGGCGCATAAAAGCGAAAGCCAGGCGATAGCGCAGAGTTGGCGACGCCAACTGTATCCCCTGCGCAATAGCCATTTTTTCTGGCGCAGACGTTCTTAATCGCCAAAGGCGCTAAATGGCGATCGCCAAATGCGCTATTGACTACCACTACACAAAACATTAATAATCATGTACCAGATAGAGAATGTCGAATGCATTCCTGTAGCTATCAAGGCAATCCTCAATGTTATGGTTTCTGCAACATTTTTCATTCAAATATCAGTCTAAATTCAAATAATTATTTAATGAGAAGATATGCAAGGTAGAAGGAAGCTTTAGTGCATATGGGCTGCAAAATTTATAAATCCAAAGATAAATCCATCTGAATTGTCAATTACAATTTACAACACTATTATTAGTAATAATGGATTGGGTTAAAGCCACCCATACGATTTGTCCATCTATATATATTTTTAAAATACATTGAAAAATCATCCATATCTTTGGGAACCATTGAATTATCACATTTAACATTTTTAAAGCCTTTCTACTCTGTTGATCACTAGATGCATGAAAACATCAATATGATATACTTCCATTCAAAAAAAGAGTCCATTATGATATCCTTCCATTCAAAAAAAGAGTCCATTTGCAATAATGTTTATCAGCATCTTAAGCATGAGTTTTTTATTGCTACTAACAGAGGTAAGACAAATTTTACATATGAGATAAGTAGCTTTCACTTACAGAAAACCAACTGAAATTTGTGTATCGTAATTCAGACCATCAGACATTCCCAAGTCTCCAATGTGATCACCAAGAAGCAAAAGATTAGTTCTCTTCTTCAAAGAAGATTCATCATTAACCATTTCCTTGTCTTCAACAAATTTGCCAAGAGGGGCAGCCATGTCAAGTGCATGCTCATTCTTGTTAAGAACATGAATGGTCTTACCTATAAAACACACATACCATTGTTTAGGCCTGAGGGCATTACCTAAATATGGAAAAGTCATGGAAACAACTTTGGCTAAGAGCAGTTATGATGCCACCCACTATAACTACTTTCTGAGATTCAAGGATATTCTGAAACCAGCTGTTTAACTCATTATATTAGGTTTGCGAGTAGGAACAAGTATACCTTTAAGTACATCTCAGAGACTCTGAGAGTATATATTCCCCTCACCCTTTTTTGGAAACAGTTAAACACAAATATTGTAAAGTTGGAACAAACATACCCCTCAAATTACAAGAGAACACACTATTTAGATACAATGGCATATTTGTTACAACTTTACAATTTTTTGTGTTTAATTGACGCAAATATTTGTTCTCTAACATATAATTGAGGGATATATTTGTTCCTTCTCCTTATTAAGCTGCACTAAAATTTACGTGAGTAGTGAGGCTGCCCAGCAGAGCTCAATTACCAAGATTGATCACTATTTAGCAAAAACGTTATGTGCAGTACTTTTGGTTAAAACTATGAGCTATCACTATTTCACACAAAGCATTTTAAAAGTGATACATGGTATCCTTTAGCCAAAGCGTACTAGTGTCTGTTTGGGATGAAATTTGAAAAGCACTTTTGCCAACACACATTTTGCTTCTTAAAAGCACCATTTTGGCACTTTTGCTTTGTGAAAAGTGCCTTTAACTCTATAGATGCTAAAGGTATTGATTTTCAATTGTTTAAAAACATTTCAAATTCAATAAAAACATCACGATACGGAAGTGCTGCAATGCGCATTGGGAGAGCCAGGCACCAAGGGATCTATTAAATTGAAAATGCAAGTCCATTTAAATTTTTTATAAGAAAAATTCAGTTATTTCAAACATAAAAAGATATTGACTGAGCACTTTTCACAAAGCGACAGTTGCTTCGTTGAATGAGAACGATACCTTTAAAACAAAGCAAGCCGCCATTCTCATCAAACACCATTCTATTGGATACAATCCGCACATTCTTGTATGATCTACATAGTTTCTGCCTTAGCACCTGAGAAAATAGAATACATCACACCAAATGTAAAAGTAATCTAACTATGTGCTACCAGACAAACAACTTGCTCAGAACATAAGGATGGAAGAACTGACCTCCTCTATTATGTCTGCAAGACCAGCAGAAAATATAAGAACAGGCACATTTCTCTCCTGTAATTTATAGCAAAAACACCATGGTATGTCAGAACTCAGAAAATATCAAGAACCTTGAAATAAAGGAAAGCGTAGGGTTTTTCCAAAATTCACCTCTAGAAGTTCAAATAATTCGGCAACACCGTCTCTTAAAGCAATATTGGCGTTCGCCACAGATTCCTTAATAGCATCATATGTAAGACCTCCTTCAATAAGAAGACCATGTGTTTTCCCCCACCTACAGGCATGAGTCTGAACTTTATCATATTGTCTAGAACCTAATATATTCAAACATTAGCATAGTAGAATATGGAGAAGAAGCAGACTTCAATATCAATCACTGAATTCTTTTCATAAAAGGAAACATGAAGACTATCCTGGGATGGACCAAAAAGAAACACAAGAAATAGTACAAAGGGAAGATTACCTACCCAAAAAGGGATATGAGTCCATAAGACCATAACATAAAAATATCATTACCTACCCAGTCCTGCCCAGTCGCTAGAATTCCCACATATTCTCCTAAACCTAAATAGTACAAAGGTAAGATTATGTGAATAAGACTATAACACTTCTTCATATAGGAGTACTATTGTCTTTCCTGAAAATAAGACTCATCCACTCCTAAAAGAAGATTTATTAGCTACTTCTATTCTTTTTTGAGTGATTTGAGTCATATTTGAAGCCCAAAACTAGGATACTCCTGTTTGTGCGCATGATCGATGTTCTAGTCCTATTTGCATTACTTTCTTACAGTAGTCTTAACAAAATGAGTTGTCTGCATACAGCTTGTATTTACTTATTTATGTATTGGTAAACGGTCTAAGTCTGTTACCCACTTAGCATGTAATGTTTGGGAGAAAATAGATTATTCTGAAGAAGCTGCAAAGTATTAACTCAATAGTTTCTGAAATTGTATTAAGAGGTTGGAGGAAGTGAAGAGCCATACCACTCTTCCATGAGCTTGGCTTTCTCATCTAGCGGTATCAGGGGGTTAAATTCTAATGGATGGTAATATTCATGTAGTTTCTGCCTCTTGGTATTGTATTCCGAATTTTCCTGTTGCAGTAGACCATGACTGCCTGCAGATATTTGTTTTAAGCATGTCACTAGCTGCATACAGGAAAGAGAGATATGCATTCCTTTGATAATCAACACTCATATAGTTAGCTGTATCCAATATTCTCATTCCGACACACACAAAAGATACTCAAACAGTCAAACTCGAACACTTACTCATTCCTCGTTGACCATCTATCCAATATTTTGTCAAGGTTGCGTCAAAATCTGCAATTACCTAGGGAATTATAAATCATCATATGAACACCACATTCTTTTTATTCTCTGTATATGAGCAAGAAGAAAACAATAACCACATTATCCTACAGTCCAACACTATTCTCATTTACAAAACTATATACCGGTGGGCCCAAATTCAATTTCTGTCAATTAAACTAGGTCAGCATGAGTCCCTGTAGGTACAGGCACCTCACACCCCACACTCTATCTAGCAGATTGGGTCCTTATAAGTGCTAGTTGCAGACCTCTCCCTCTACCTAATAGATTCTAATTAGTGACCTTCCAAATTGATTTGGAAAAAAGAATACATGTTTAAAAGCTATATTAAGAGCCGTTTGGTAATAGCAAAAACGGCTGAATCGGCTAATTCTGTTGAAACTTATGAAGTTCTGGGACTTCTGGCTCATTTGGATTGGCTAATTCCGAAGATTTATGAAAAAATTACATTTAAAATATTTTTTATTATTAAAATAAAGAAAAAATTATATGAAAAATAACTAAAATGATCATCTACGGTAACTCCAACCAATACAACCATAAAATTAACTTCAACCTTACAAAATAAAAAATTATGTGTGAAAAAGTTGTTTGATAAGCAAAAACCAAACGGGCTCTAAAAGTTCTATTGAATTGCAAAAACCAAATTTGAAAACGATTACAAACTGATACTCAATGATACTCAAAATTAGAAAATAAAACGGAATGTCGTTGACCAAGACAAGTGTAAGAGAGAACCTGGAGCTTTGAAGGTCCTGCGCAGCTAATAGAAGATATTTTCTGGTGGAGTGAATGAGCGTCACCCACCACCACCCGTGACTCTGACCCATCAATGACCACTGCTTCCATTTCCGCTTGATTTCTACCACTGAACTTACAAGTAGAGGCACATTACACAGTCGGGTTATTCACATAATCAAGAAAATAAAGTTTCGCAAAAAAATGAATGATAATACCAGCCCCCAAAAAAGTCAGAAATGGTTCCGAACAGACCGCCAGATACACAAACTGGGGACATAAAGCTCGGGAAAAAAGCATTCTTTTCCTAAACGGTATCAATAGTTCCCGTGAAAGGTGAAGCACCTGCGACTGTATCGGACAGGGAAACCACGGGGATGAGAGTGACCAGTTCGGCAGCTCAAAAGGAAGGAGATAACCGGAATGTGGCCACCAAGTCTGTGCGTCATAAAATAATCCGACCGTACAGGTGGGGATATTTTTTTAATTCACAAATATTAAAGAAATAAATTTGATTTTATTGCAATAATGACAAAAAAAAAGTGTAAAAATGATTGTGAATCGGAAGGAGTATTAAAACAAAATCAATTTGTCTTAGAGTACACAAGATGTACATAAATTGCACATCATATAAAACCCAAAAATTAACATTCCATTTACCCCTTAGCTTTTTTTAACCCCCTAGCTTCTTTTCTCTCTTTCTTTCCCTCGCACTCCCCCTTCCCGTTACGTATTTTCGCACTCAAAGAACCAGTACAAAGGAGTACTGTTCACTGAAGCTTCTTCTTCCTCTTGTTCTCTTCACAACTCGACGGAGTAATAGGACAGAGGAACCGGAGTCTTAAGGAATGGATTACAGTCTTGAGGACATGGGCGAGTTTATGGGTGCCCAAGGAGACGAATCCGGGTCTGAACCTCCGGCGACTCAAGATGAAGGTGAGCCCAGTACGAAAGACGTCGGTGATGGGAAAAGCAGATTCTGGGCATTGATGATGAAGAAGGTACGCCGAACGTAATGTCTGTGTACAGCAATTGGATGTTTCAGCAGCTATAGAACTGAATAACATTGTATTTGTATACTTCAACATCCATTTTGTGTTACTCTATGATTACGAAGTCAAAGTATTGTATTTGATGTGTTTTATTTTTCATGTAGTAAATGAAGTAAAAGTTTGTTTTGATATTTCATGTGTACACTGACATGACGCAGTAAATGTTTGTGTTGTTATTGTATGTCCACAGACGTTTATATTAGTTCTCATTATTTGTTTTATATGGCTTCACTGATGTAGATGGCGGTACACCAGACGTCCCTGTAGAAGTTGGGATGTTGTTTTCGGGAAAAGATGATGCCTACGATCACTATTAGAATTACGCAAAACATATAGATTTTCCCATTAGAATTAGGAGCTCAACAAAAGACAAACAAGGAAGCATAACGGGAATGTTAATCAAATGTGGTCGTGTTGGAAATAGAGTTTCAAAGTCCACAAATTCTTTGTTGTCTGGACCTACTAGTGCAATAGGTTGCAAAGCACGAATCAAAGTCATGTATGATTATGCTGGGTCATGGGTAATTTCGAAAGTGCATGAAGAGCATAACCACCCCATGGGCGTACAAGCGGTGCTGGTATGCGTATAGAGATTTTGGAGATGTGATAACTTGTGATACAACTTAGCTCACCAATAAGTACGACATTCCCTTTGCACCTTTTGTTGGACTAAACCACCATGTCCAATCTATGTTGTTCGGTTGTGGCTTAATTTCAAGTGAGGACACCACCACATTTGTGTGGGTGTTTACAAAGTGGCTTGAGTGTATGGGTGGTTGTCCTCCCAGTGGAATTATTACCGATCAAGATAGGGCAATGCAAAACGCCATTCAATTAGTGTTCCCAAATACAAGACATCGGTGGTATTTATGGCATTTAATGAAAAAGGTGCCTGAGAAGATGGGAGGGTTGACTGATAAAGATGAAGTTAGTGCTTGTTTACATGATGCTGTTTACGACTTCCAATCAGGTGCAGAATTTGAGTTCGCATGGAGTTCAATGTTGCAAAGGTAAGCATTTGTTTTTTACAAGTTGTGTTCAATACCACAACTATCGTAATATTCATGGTTTGTAATGTGCATGTTTCATCTTAATGACCATGAATGGCTACATGTGCTTTACAATGAAAGACATCGGTGAGTGTCGTGCTACTTGAGGCCTACTCTTTGGGCAGGGATGTCAACGACCCAACGTAGTGAGAGCATTAATGCATTTTTTGACGACTTTGTTCATTCAAAAACAAGTCTAAACGAATTTGTTGACCAATACGGGTGTGCTTTGAAAAGCAAAGTAGAGAAAGAGTTCCAAGTGGATGCCAAGTCTTTCACCAAAATGATACCTTGTGTGACTATATATGGCATGGAATATTAGTTGCAACAAATGTACACACTTACAAAGTTCAAGGAGTTTCAAAGTGAAATGACCGAGAAGATGTATTGTGACCTGTTACGGAGTGAGGATGGTATACATTACAATATCCGTAAAGACACAAAGGTGAATGATTTTTACAAAACTGTTCATGTTGTGGTTGAGTACGATAGTTCCATCCCAAAAGCCGTGTGCACGTGCCACTTATTTGAGTTTAGAGGGATTGTTTGTAATCACATCATCACAGTCCTATTGCGTAACGAAGTTAACGTCTTACCAGATTGTTATATCATGCAAAGGTAGAGGAGAGATGTCAAAAGGGGATACACAAGAGTTAAAATTAACTATGACGGTTGGATTACGACTAAAGAATAGCAACGGTTTGACAGGTTATGCACCACCTTTGAAAGACTTGTGAATTATGTGGCTGATGATAACCAACATTATGCACGCATCTTGACATGGCTTGAAGTTGAATTAGAAAAATGCATCATGTCAAATACTCGTTCTTCAATTTGTGGAGTTATGACTCAATTAACGGACAACCCTTATCAGAACCTGATCTAACTTGGCTAAGAGATCATCCTCCAAACCAAGTGATTGGACAGATCAGAAGCGGAGTATAGACCAGATCTGCTACAACCAGAAGAGAAGCAATGTGTGCCTGCTACATATCTCAAATGGAACCTATGACTGTAGAAGAAGCTCTTGCAGACTCAGACTGGATCAATGCAATGCATGAAGAGCTTACTCAATTTGAAAGGAACAAAGTGTGGGAACTCGTTCCTAGACCAAAGCATCAGAATGTCATTGGAACCAAATGGGTATTCAAGAATAAAGCAGATGAAGATGGAAACATTGTAAGGAATAAAGCAAGGCTGGTGGCTAAGGGATACTACCAAGAAGAAGGAATTGATTTTGATGAGACCTTTGCACCAGTTGCCAAACTTGAAGTCATCAGAATCTTCCTTGCCTATGCTGCTTACAACAACATCAAGGTCTATCAGATGGATGTCAAAAGTGCATTCCTGAATGGAGATCTTGAAGAAGAAGTTTATGTGGAACAACCACCAGGTTTTATCATTCCTACTCAATCCTCTTGTGTCTACAAGCTTAGAAAGGCCCTCTATGGTCTTAAGCAAGCTCCCTGGGCGTGGTATGACACATTGTCCCTATTCCTAGTAAACCATGGGTTTACTAAGGGAAAGGTTGACAAAACTCTATTTCAAATCTCTGTTGCTAATCATATTCTGTTAGTACAAATATATGTTGATGATATTATATTTAGAAGTACTAATTCAGAATTGTGCAAGAAATTTTCTCAAGTCATGCAGAGTCAATTTGAAATGAGTATGATGGGAGAGCTCAGCTACTTCCTAGGACTGCAAGTGAAACAAGTTCCTGAAGGAATCTTTATCAACCAAGGGAAGTACACCAGAGACCTGATAAAAAAGTTTGGAGTAGAAGGAAAATCCTCAGTGAAGATTCCCATGAACACCTCTCAAGGAATTGGTCCAGATGATGAAGGAAAAGATGTTGATGCAACAACATACATAGGAATCATTGGATCTCTTCTATATCTAACTGCAAGCAGACCAGACATATCGTTCTCTGTTGGAATCTGTGCCAGATACCAATCAAAGCCCAAGGAAAGCCATCTAAGTGATGCAAAAAGAATCATCAGATACATCAAAGGAAATCCAAATGCAGGCCTATGATATCCAAAGGGAGGTAACTTTGAACTAATTGGTTACTCTGACTTAGACTTTGCAGGTTGCAGGTTAGACAGGAAGAGCACCTCTGGTCACTGCCAATTGCTAGGTGAGAGACTTGTCTCCCGGTTTAGCAAGAAGCAGAATTCAATCTCAACCAGTACAACAGAAGCTGAATATATTGTTGCTGGAAGCTGTTGTGCTCAACTTTTGTGGATGAAGCAACAACTGAAAGATTATGGCATTCAAGCAAAGGAGATCAAGCTTCTCTGTGACAACACTAGTGCCATTGCGATCACCCAGAATCCAGTACTTCATTCCAGGACAAAGCACATTGAGATCGGACATCTCTTCATCAGAGATCATGTAGAGAAGAAGCATATCTGTATGGAACATGTACCTACAGAAAATGAGCTAGCGGATATTCTAACCAAGCTTTTACCTGCGGCAAGGTTTAACAAGCTAAGGGAAGAACTGGGAATGATGGACGATCTTCCCAGAGATGCTTGAATCAGAGTTGCCTTGAATGAGAACTGCTGACTCTGAACCAGAGAATCTTTATCAGAACACCTCCTTCTCTGATCACCAGAGTATCACCTATTAGAGTACCCCTTTTCTGGTACAGAATCTCTTATATGAAGTTCATCAGAAGTGGTTGTGGACTTAGTCATTTTTCGAGGAACGGGCAAGACCTAATTACTTGAACATGTCTTTTACTTCTTTACCCCTGATTTTTACTCCTTTAACGGAAACGTTTTTCTGCCCGCATTTTATTAAATGCTACCTCAAAACCCCCAATAATCTCAAACGTCCACTAACCCAAAACCATTTGTACCCATCTCCTTCAACCTAAACCCCTACTGCAACTTTATTCTCAAGCTTTCGAATCCTCCCAGAACTTCTAAAATCTCCAGAAATTCTAAACACCTCTCACCACCTGAGAATGAACTTCTTGAACATCAATGTTTTCACTAAGGAGGAAGTGAAAACCCTCGTCAACAACATTGTTACAGGCATGAAGGTTGACATGTCTGCACTGTCATTACTGGCAGAGAACCAGAAGAGGATGAAGAAGATCATCCAAGGGTTGAATGACTCTCAACTGAGCAAAGTGGTTGCTCATCCCTACGAAGAGTTCAGAACTAAGGATGTGGCCGAGTTCTACCTAAACGCCACTATCACCGGAGAAGCTGTCTACTCCCATGTCCAAGGCAAGAGTCTAAAGATTGATGTTGATGCTCTAAACCAGTTCTTTGGCGT